GGGTTTTCTTCTATTTACTTAAAAGTTCTTGTTCTTTATTTCTTATCTCCATGGGGAAGTAGAAAAGAATTCTTCCTAAGTAAGCCATGCGCGTCATAAAAGGTGACCAAAATGCTGGGTGCAAGGGGCTAGTAACCCCTTCTCCTGTATAAATTACTAAATGTAAAAAGAAAAACTTTAGTTATTGACTAAAAGGTCAAAGGTGGGAGATGGCTGGTGCACTGAAAAAAAAAGATAATGCATACATGATATAGTACTTCAAGTCTGGATGAAATACTTTAATGAACAGGGATTTAAAATAGCCAGAGAAAGCCTTGATTACCATTTATTTTTATAAATGCTTAGCTTAACCCCTTCACTGCTAGAAGCAGTGAAATGGTAGAGAATCTTTTTCTGATAGAAAACTTACATTATTATGCAAGAAAAAGTTAATTCAGCCAAATTTTTAGTATGTCTTCTGTTCTATCAAATGAACACAAACAACTACCATTCAACTATAAGAACTACCCTATACCTGGAGTTTACCTGGAGAGAGTTTCGGGGGTCAACGCCCCCGCGGCCCGGTCTGTGACCAGGCCTCCTGGTGGATCAGCGCCTGATCAACCAGGCTGTTGCTGCTGGCTGCACGCAAACCAACGTACGAGCCACAGCCCGGCTGATCAGGAACTGCCTTTAGGTGCTTGCATGCCAGCTTGAAGACTGCCAGGGTCTGTTGGTAATCCCCCTTATGTGCTGGCAGGCAGTTGAACAGTCTCGGTCCCCTGACACTTATTGTATGGTCTCTTAACGTGCTAGTGACACCCCTGCTTTTCATTGGGGGATGGTGCATCGTCTGCAAGTCTTTGCTTTCGTAGTGAGTGATTTTCGTGTGCAAGTTCGGTACTAGTCCCTCTAGGATTTTCCAGGTGTATATAATCATGTATCTCTCCCTCCTGCGTTCCAGGGAATACAGGTTTAGAAACCTCAAGTGCTCCCAGTAATTGAGGTGTTTTATCTCCGTTATGCGCGCCGTGAAAGTTCTCTGTACATTTTCTAGGTCGGCAATTTCACCTGCCTTGAAAGGTGCTGTTAGAGTGCAGCAATATCCAGCCTAGATAGAACAAGTGACCTGAAGAGTGTCATCATGGGCTTGGCCTCCCTAGTTTTGAAGGTTCTCATTATCCATCCTGTCATTTTTCTAGCAGATGCGATTGATACAATGTTATGGTCCTTGAAGGTGAGATCCTCCGACAAATCACTCCCAGGTCTTTGACGTTGGTGTTTCGCTCTATTTTGTGGCCAGAATTTGTTTTGTAACTCTGATGAAGATTTAATTTCCTCATGTTTACCATATCTGAGTAATTGAAATTTCTCATCGTTGAACTTCATATTGTTTTCTGCAGCCCACTGAAAGATTTGGTTGATGTCCGCCTGGAGCCTTGCAGTGTCTGCAATGGAAGACACTGTCATGCAGATTCGGGTGTCATCTGCAAAGGAAGACACGGTGCTGTGGCTGACATCCTTGTCTATGTCGGATATGAGGATGAGGAACAAGATGGGAGCTAGTACTGTGCCTTGTGGAACAGAGCTTTTCACCGTAGCTGCCTCGGACTTTACTCTGTTGACGACTACTCTCTGTGTTCTGTTAGTGAGGAAATTATAGATCCATCGACCAACTTTTCCTGTTATTCCTTTAGCGCGCATTTTGTGCGCTATTACGCCATGGTCACACTTGTCGAAGGCTTTTGCAAAGTCTGTATATATTACATCTGCATTCTTTTTGTCTTCTAGTGCATTTAGGACCTTGTCGTAGTGATCCAGTAGTTGAGACAGACAGGAGCGACCTGTTCTAAACCCATGTTGCCCTGTTGCCATCTGCATTCTTTTTGTCTTCTAGTGCATTTAGGACCTTGTCGTAGTGATCCAGTAGTTGAGACAGACAGGAGCGACCTGTTCTAAACCCATGTTGCCATGTTGCCATGTTGCACAGAAGTCAATAATTTGACCAATTTTACACTAAATTAAAAAATTCAATTTAAAAAGTCCAAAATAAACACTATAGACATTCCAGGCACTAGAGCAACATTTTATCTGATCACTAATCATGTCCTCAGGACTCTCCTGTAATACATTTGCTCTCCACTTTGAATTCATCACACAAAAAATAGATGCATTATTCTAGTTCTCAAATAATAAAACATAACCATGATTTAGTGCATCCAAATAATTGAAGCAGGCCTTGTAAAACCCATTAAACAGACCAGAGGGTGCGGAGGGGACTTAACCATCCTCAAGAAAATCGTCCAGAATAGAATATATCCACAATTCTAAGTCCAATTTCAAGCTGCAGCTGACTGTCAGATAACATGGTACTTAAATTCCTGACTATTCAAAAACATTCAATTTCTTCCTACTATTCCCTATTATTCTGACATCTACTCTCCCATTCTCCATATATTTGCTGATTCTACTTATTTTATGGTCATTATGAATTTTTTTTCTTTAACAAGTCGGCCATCTCCCACCTAGGCAGGGTGACCCAAAAAGAAAGAAAATCCCGAAAATAAAAATACTTTCATCATCATTCAACACTTTCACCACACTCATACATAATCACTGACTCTGAAGAAGTGCCCAGATACTACAGTTTAGAAGAATATATAAAGATACAATATAAAAAGTGACCTTAAATAATATAATAAACTCCCTGTAGAATATAATATCAGGGCCCCAACTGTATACCATCCTATTATACATCTCTCCAAACTGCCAATATCCCCCCCCCCCCCTTTAAAGTGAAGGCATTGTACTTCCCATTTCCAGTACTCAAGTCACTCTGCAAAACAGAGTGACTTCAAGAATGTATCAGTCTGTAGTGGAAGGAAGGCGGGGTAGGGGTCGGCCTAGGAAAGGTTGGAGGGAGGGGGTAAAGGAGGTTTTGTGTGCGAGGGGCTTGGACTTCCAGCAGGCATGCGTGAGCGTGTTTGATAGGAGTGAATGGAGACAAATGGTTTTTAATACTTGATGTGCTGTTGGAGTGTGAGCAGAGTAACATTTATGAAGGGGTTCAGGAAAACCGGCAGGCCGGACTTGAGTCCTGGAGATGGGAAGTACAGTGCCTGCACTCTGAAGGAGGGGTGTTAATGTTGCAGTTTAAAAACAGTAGTGTAAAGCACCCTTCTGGCAAGACAGTGATGGAGTGAATGATGGTGAAAGTTTTTCTTTTTCGGGCCACCCTGCCTTGGTGGGAATCGGCCAGTGTGATGATGATATAAAAAAAAAAAAAAAAAAAAGTCCGGCTATATAAAAATAACCGGTTTCCCTGAATCCCTTCACTAAATATTACCCTGCTCACACTCACATTATGAAATACATTTTTAACTCTTTCAGGGTCGAGAGGCCCTCTCCTAAACTCGTTTTCAGGGTTGAAAATTTTTCAAATTTTTTTTTTTTTTTTGAAATGATAAGAGAATTTTTTCCAGATCATAATGACACCAAAAGTATGAAATTTGATGGAAAACTTACGGAATTATGCTCTCGCGAAGTAAGTGGTCTTAACGATGTTTACGCATTGGCGATTTCGCCCACTTTGAACCCTATTTTTGGCCAATTCCTGTGTCCTAGTCAACAAAAAGCATATTTATTTCGCTAGAACTCCATTTTTTTCTATCGAATGAGTACAAGAAACCACCCATTTACCAATTTCAACTATCCAATAAAGTGGTCAGAAATTGGCAATTTTGCCAATTTCACACAAAATTCACACAAAATAGGGTCCAGAATAAACAAGACAGACATTCCTGGCACTAAAATAACAAGTTCTCTGTTCATTAGTGACGTCCGCAGGCCCCTCTTACATTTCCTTTACTTTCCACTTTGAATTTTTATTCTCACAAAAAATAAAATATTTACTGTTATGCAGACTACTGCATTAGTGTAGAAATGGGATAAATAATACCAGCATACTTGTGAAAGAATATTAGACTCACCAGTTGACGTGTATTGGACGCTTGGCATGATTTGTTTACTTTTGAACTTTGGTAAAAATCGAACATTTCTGCTTTGAGCTCAATTTCAAGGTACTTTTCATTGTGAAACCAGTCAAAATCATCTCAATTTCTATAATATGCCTTCCATTCTATAAAATGAGACCAGGAAAACTAGAATACAATCATAAATATCATACGAAAATAGTGCAAAGTCGCTGTTTTAATCCAAAAACACGGTCTAAGTTGTTTTTTTCTTATTACGCACTGTGTGCTGCAGAATTTTTTTTTATACTGCGCACACTGACCACACAGACCCATTCTTCCATATGTAGGCCTACCAGCTTTCTCTCGCTAGATTTGAAGGTGCTAGAATTTAGGCGTTCTAGTACGTCAATAACCCTGGTGCGTAAGCCGTACTAGTACGTTGGAAACCCTGAAAGAGTTAAAAACACCATGGCCAACCTTTACAATATCTTTTAGAATCTCATACATACATTATGCTTTCTGCAAGCATCAAGCATGACATCTAAATAAAATCAAATTTATTTTTACTTACAACACTGCTCCTAAACCCTCTAAAATTCCCTTCTCTTACAACTCCACCTATATACAGGGATACAATATAACCTGCCATAAGGACAGAATGCATGCTTCTTTAAGTTCCAACCATACTGTGTAATGAAGCAAATCAGCCTCTCGAGCATTACTTATGTAAGGTGTGATAAATATTCATTGAGAAAATTTCATGACTGTCCTCACTGTGTATTTCTTGTCTATAACCTTACCTATTTACTACATGTATAGTTCTGTAACTCAGGTGAAGGAAATAAATGCAGTATAATTAAAAGATTAGATAGGTAATGTCATCTACCATCATTGTTGTATTGAAATGTAATGAAGTACAAGGCAAGTGTTTGAGAAAATACTATTATTATTATTATTATTATTATTATTATTATTATTACTGTAGCATCTGTAAATGAGTTTAAAATATCATTATTACTGCAAAAGTTGGGAATTAACCCTAGAAATCTATGAGAAGTGTGATCTTGCATTCTGTTGTTCTATTATTGGTGGTTCCAATATTTTTTCACTAGAATTTTTGTTTATCTGTAATATAGTGTATAAAGTTCATTTTTTTGTATATGATTAGTTTCCTAATAAGAACATAAGAAAGGAGGAACATTGCAGCAGGCCTGTTGGCCCATACTAAGCAGGTCTTTTACAATCCATCCCACTAACAAAACATTTGCCCAACTCAATTTTCAATGCCACCCAAGAAATAAGCTCTGATAACTCTATCCACTTGTAGGTAGTAGGTTGGCAGACAGCAACCGCCCAGGGAGGTACCACCGTCCTGCCAAGTGAGTGTAAAATGGAAACCTGTAATTGTTTTACATGATGGTAGGATTGCTGGTGTCTTTTTTCAGTCTCATAAACATGCAAGATTTCAGGTACGTCTTGCTACTTCTACTTACACTTAGGTCACACTACACATACATGTACATGCATATATATACATGCCCCTCTGGGTTTTCTGCTATTTTCTTTCTAGTTCTTGTTCTTGCTTATTTCCTCTTATCTCCATGGGGAAGTGGAACAGAATTCTTCCTCCGTAAGCCATGCGTGTTGTAAGAGGCGACTAAAATGCCAGGAGCAAGGGGCTAGTGACCCCTTCTCCTTTATAGATTACTAAATTTAAAAAGAGAAACTTTTGTTTTTCCTTTTGGGCCACCCTGCCTCGGTGGGATGCGGCCAATTTGCTGAAAAAAAAAGAAAAAAAAAAAAAAAAAAACTATCCACTCTCATGTGCAAGTCCCACTCAAATCCAACCCCTCTCACTCATGTATCTATCCAACCTAAATTTGAAACTACCCAAGGTTTTAGCCTCAATAACCCAACTAGGTAGACTGTTCCACTCATCAACTACCCTATTTCCAAACCAATACAGTGGACCCCGCCTTACAAACTCATCGCGTCATGTTAAATCTGCCATACGAAGCATTTGAATGCAAAAATTTTGCCTCACCTCACGATAAAAAACTCGCTTTACGTGATTCGTCTGGGACGCGTCCCACGTGTGGCCTCAGCGCCAGTGTTTACAAACCAGCCAGTGCGGTCGCATCTACGCATACATTCCATACATTTCACATTATCCCAGTGTTTGTAGTGCTTGTAAATGCAAAATAAGTCACTATGGACCCCAAGAAAGCTTCTAGTGCCATCCCTGTGGTAAAAAAGGGCGAGAATTAGTATGGAATTGAAAAAAGAGATTAAGGAAATGTGTGCAAAGTGGGTTGAACTGCAAACCTTTACAGATGGAAATCACCCTGACACAGCTACTGCAAGCTGTGTTGGCAACCTGTACAGTGACAATGTTATGGCCCATTTTAGGAAAGTCTTAAAGGAACGGGAGGTACACAGCTCTATGGACACATTTGTTGTGCGACAGAGGTCCAGTGACTCTCAAGCTGGTCCTAGTGGCATTAAAAGAAGAAGGGAAGTAACCCTGAAAAAGGACTTGCTACCTCTAGTCCTAACGGAAGGGGATTCCCCTTCTAACCAATAACTTCCACACACTCCCCTCCTCCCATCCCATCAATCATCACCAGATCTTCAATAAAGGTAAGTGTCATGTATTCTATTCTTAGTAGAGTAGTAATTGTGCATGTCTTCTTCAGTTTGTGTGTATTAAAATTAATATTTCATGTGGTAAAAATTTTTTTTTTCATACTTTGGGGTGTCAAGAACAGATTAATTTGATTTCCGTTATTTCTTAGGGGGAAAATTAATTCGGCTAACGATAATTTCGGCTTACGATGAGCTCTCAGGAACAGATTAATATCGTAAGGCAGGGGTCCACTGTACTTTCCTATATACTTTCTAAATCTAAACTTGTCTAGTTTGAATCCATTACTGCGGGTTCTCTCTTGGAGAGAGATCCTCAAGCCCTTATTTATATCCCCTTTATTAATACCCATCTTCCACTTATACACTTTGATCATGTCTCCCCTCATTCTTTGTCTAACAAGTGAATGTAATTTAAGGGTCTTCAATCTTTCTTCATAAGGAAGATTTCTAATGCTATGTATTAATTTAGTCATTCTACACTGAATGTTTACTAACGAATTTATGTCCAATCTGTAATATGGAGACCAGAACTGAGCTGCATAATCTAGGTGAGGCCTTACTAATGATGAATAAAGCTGGAATATAACCACTGAACTTCTGTTGCTTACTCTTCTTGATATAAATCCCAGTAATCTGTTTGCCAATAGTGGAACCTTGGCTTACGAATGCCCCACCATGCGAATTTTTCAGGATATGAACAGTCAGTCGATTGATTTTTTGCTTCTGGATACGAACGAAATTTCAGGATATGAACTTCCCCCTCAAGGAAGGTTCCTTGGTGAGGGGCTCTTGATCAAGGGAATTAGAATCTGTACTTGTTGCAACCCCTGAATGGGTCACAATGTATATAATGTATATTACCTTTTCATATAATTTTATATTGCTTATATTTGCAATAATAGCTAAATCGTAAATATATTGCTTAATATTATTATTTGACTTAGTTACTTTTGTTAGGTAGGATGTAACATTCATATATTATTATTATGTGCTCATAGTTCAAGTCTTGATTGTCTAACTACTGTAATTATCGCTCATGGCTCGTTACTTTGCCGGCTTCTGTGTTGCTAGGCAGCAACTGTCCACGGAGCTATCACGTGATCGAGGGGGGGTGTTCACACCTCGCCTGAAGTAGTCAGTCGAGGCTATACTCTCTTGGTGGTTGGACGTATTCCTGACAAGGCGTGCCTAACTCTTCCTTATTGGCCCTTGTTGGAAGATCGTCTCTGTAGCTTTCTTGTTGGTTCTGTAGAACTGTTCACAGAACACTGCCAAACTTAGTGATTTTCGACGCTGTACTGTGGTTGTGTGTCGCATAGGCACTCTGAGCAACTCAGGTCCTGGAGCTGTTAGCTTTGACCTAATATGTACTGGTTATATGTGTACTGTCACAGTCGGGGATTTCTTATGCTGACCCTTAGATTCAGTAGTATGGGGAGTTTGTGACTTTTGTGGAGGATCTGCAAAGGTCCCTACTAATTGTCCGTTTACATTTAATCATCCATGTTCCTGATTCTGTGTCGCAGTTTGCTTGTTATATTGCTATTGGGCCTTAGCGGATTCGTTATTGTCAATGCCAAGCTGTTCTGATTGCCAGGTGGTCAAGAAGTTAGATCTATTGAGGACTTTGTCTGAGTCACTGGTTTAAGTCTAGCTAGTCTTGAGACATAGCAACGTACTTAGAGCACTTACACACATTTTATTTTTTTATACAAGTCGGGTGGCCGTCCCTCCCACCAAGGCAGGGTGACCCAAAAAAGAAAGAAAATCCCAAAAGAAATACTAGTTTCATCATCATATCAAACACTTTCAACTCACACTCCGCACATTATCACTGTTTTTGCAGAGGTGCTCAGATACAACAGTTTAGAAGCATACACATATAAAGAAACACAACAAATCCCTCCAAACTGCCAATATCCCGAAACCCCATCCTTTAACCCACACTTTTCAGGGTCCAAGTGCCAAAATCTGAAGTCCACGCACCGTGTCCCAAGAAATTGATTGAAAAAAAAAAAAAAAATATTTTTTCTTACAGAATTAAAGAAGCATATTTTTTTATTGTGAAGGTAATAAAAACAAAAAAAATTAGAATCGATCAGTACTTGACCGAGATACAGTGGCCAAGAAGTTTATAGAAAATGATTTGTGGCGGCAACATCGACGAATTCCACATAACGCGTATTAATAATTAATTTTGTTTGTTTTAAGTTTGTTTTTTTTCTTTCATTTCCAATTTTTTTCTATCCCTTACTAACAATATGGGGCCATGACAGAGACCAATACTGTATAAATTGATATATATATACTCAACGGTATTGAACACAATAACCGCCCTAAAGTTATTATCAATTATTGATTATCCACTGTTGTTATTACAATAACAAGCACAAATATTGAATAATACTAATGTTCTAATCATATATTTACATATTTACAATCACAGACATGGTTTTAGAACTGCTGGAGCTTGTGGAACTCCTTGAAACAAGGCACCATGCAAAGAGGCCAAGCCTACATTCCTCCACCCATAAACCGAGTGTCCCTTTGCTTCTTTGTAGCCGTCGTTTTGTTGTTGCAAGCAGACAATGCATCTCTTCTGAGCAAATTCCATTTTGAGTTGAAGGTAGCTGTATTATGAGATAATGATCACCGTTCTCTTCGAGCTCAAACGCTTGTGGTATATTGGTGATGAATTCTGAGGGACATGTTTATTTGTTGCAGGTGTTGTTACCTGGTACTTCATTATGAGTTGTATGACAACAGAAAGCAAACAAAATTCACCATAACGTGTGGTCTGTGTACCACCATCTATATTTGGTACAGTATTATAGATGCCATTCAGCATTGAAATGTCCATGAGAAGGAAGAAAATGTTTCATGTATCACTTGTAAACGTCTTACGAACACAGTCAACAAAACCCAATCTGCATGTCACACTTGTCAACCAAGCGCAAGTTTTGTGTATAATCAATCACTGTCCACTGGTTTTTCGCATACATTCAATAGGTCACTCGATCAACTCTGCCACTGTCTTGCATTATGCATTACGTTAATGGTTGTCCAACAAATGTGACATTCTCGTTTGTCATGGCCACCGTATGCCATGATGTCATTGGTCAGTAAAGCACCAGCAAGACAACTTCATCAGCCACAACACCATTGCGTTGAGCCTTGGACATATGTATACGATTATAACGCACTGTGCCACACACACTGTCTTGATTCACTCTCATGAAATCACTGATAATGGGCTTGTGTACCAGTTATCGGTATATAATTATGGCCCATACCAAGATAAGGTCCATCATGTTTTCACTTACTCACTTTATATACCCAATAATAAAATCATCTTGTAATCTTTCATGTTTTACTACCCGTGTAACAACAATATCCAACACCAGCCACTGTCACAATCACAGAGTAACAAACAATTTATGACCAAGCGTTCCTCTTGCTTGGTCTATACTACTTGAATG